GACAGACAGAGACAGACAGACAGAGCCAGAGACACACAGAGAGAGATAGAGATAGAGAGAGACACAGACACAGATACAGAGAGATAGAGAGATAGAGACAGAGAGACAGAGAGAGACACAGATATGGAGAGACAGACAAAAAGAGAAAAAGACACAGAGAAAGAAAGGGAAAGAGATACAGAGAGAGAGACAGACAGACAGACAGAGATAGATACACAGAGATACAGATAGAAAAAGGGATAAAGAGAGAGAGACAGAAAGTGAAAGAAAGAGAAAGACAAATAGAAAGAGATCAAGCTTCCTCCACAGCCTATGAGAATCCTTGTCTGCCTCTTCCTAGTTGCCATAGCCACCACTCTGGCATTCCTTGGCTTGCAACTGCAGTACCCAGTCTTTACCTCATGGCTCACAGCAATTTCTAACACATTTTCATTAAAAAGTTGGTCAAATTCAGCTCTTTGGATCATTTTTGGCTCTAACAATAGCCTCAATGATTAAGCGAACCACTCAAGGCTGTGTTTCAGTAGGCTTGACTCATCTTTGCCTAAATTAAAATGTCTGTTTACTCTTCTTACCAGGACACTGGCCAGGCTGGATGAAAGGCCCAGCCCACTACAGTCCAACCTCATCTTAACTAAGTACCTACGTAAGTGCCCTCCTCCCAACTGATGGCACCTTGTGAGGTTCTGGGACTTAGGTCTGCACCAGACCTTCTCCGGGCACATTCTTCAACTTTCAATGGCCATGGCTTGCAGTAGTAACAACCTGGCCAGCAGTGAAGGAAGGATCTTCTCTTATCTCTGCAAGGAAGACAATGTAGGTGATCTTGGTGTTTTACCCAGATTCTGCCCAGCCACCTGCTCCTAGCTGAGTCTTTATTCTGCCTAGAAACATCTTGAGTCCCCTGAGGCACTGGCTGAGCCTACTGGCCCAGGACTTGGCCTGATGATCACTTGCTCTCTTGAGTCCGATTGGTTGTTGGTTCTTAGAGTTCCCATCTGCTGTCTCATACCCTGCAGCCCAGCTCACTGGCTCTCAGCGGCAGCACGGAGTCTATCTGAGAGGCCCAGACTCCTCCCCACATTTCATATCCATTGCCTGAAAACTTGTCATGTTACTTCACCTTGCAGTTACGCCTAAAGAGTTCAGTTTCTGGGATCATGGGTTTTATATAATCCTCAAAATAGAGCCTCTCTAGCTACTTGCTACTTGTTGATATACAAAACTATTATTTTGACAGAAGAACCATAGCTTTTCTTCCAAAAACCTTCTATTAAATATGTGACAGAATGCTGTGCTGTGTAAAATTAGGTATTAAAAATGACTGACTGAAATTCAGGCACACTAACATGTTCAGTTCATTTGGGCCACTGCAACAAAATGTAAATTCGGTAGGTAACAAACAACAGAGATTTATTTCTTACATTCTAGGGGCTGAGCAATCAAAGATTAAAGCACAGGCAAATTTGGAGCCTGGGGAGGGTCCTTTCTATTCATAATTTTTTTATTTTTTAAAGAGAGTACGAAATAGTAATAAAACAGAAAAAATAAAAAATGACACAGAATTTCACTAAATAAAATAATATTAATTTGACAGCATTTTTTTGTATTGCATAGTGTTGTCTTCAAATCAGTTGTTCAGGTTACTAGATATATGCATGCAAAATTGGAAGAAAAAAGTTATAAGAAATTAAGAAGAGAGAAAAGGGAAAATAAATTGAAAAAAATACGATAAAAAATTAAGCATTAACTGCTCCTTTCCACAGACTAACAAAAATCCACAATACAATTATCCAAACCATCCTGCTTACATACATAGATATATCTCCTTTCCCCACTCTCTCTCCTGTCCTTCTCCTCATATCAGTAATTCCTCCTTTTTGAACAGGTTCATTCCCTTTTCACTTTCTGAGGGTGTCTTCTCACTGTGTCCTTACATGGAGGAAGGGTGAGGGAGTGTTCTTAGGTCTCTTCTGATAAGGTCACTAACCCTAATCATAAGGGATCCCCCC